GATGACGCTGACTTCCGCTCCCGTGTCGATGAGGAATGTGATGGAAGAACGTCGATCCTTAACGTAAAACAGTCGGTTTGCTTGGTTATTGAATGCTACGTTTGTAGTGCTAGTATGCGAGCTATTCGTTTTCCCTGGGTCGTGCCTAATGCAGGGAGCCCGACAACGTCTAGCTCTTCCACCGTATTGGCGGTGATACCAACATACTTCTTCGACGGGTTTGGTATTATCTGACTGAGAACTTGTAAGGAAAATGTTGCGCTTCCGTGCCGAACGTGACGTACTCGGTGCAGGCACAGACGAGCCGCAATGAACGGTAGCCAAAACATGGTCAGCATTTGACCGTGGCACACGCTGCTTCGAAGACTTCATTGCTGCTATGCTGCTGCGGAGTAGCGCAATTTCCTCGTCTTTAGAGTCAGATAGGTCTAGCGATTGGGAGCAAACATGGGATTCGGTTTTCATCGGTGAGAATACGTCGCCGGAGTTACTGGTCGTCGTCTGCTGAGGAAAACGTTCGAACGCAGCGTCTGCCTTGGTAGCTAAGTCTTTCAGGGTTGTATCTATAAACATGGACAGCATTACCGGCAATGGCTCTGGGAGACGTGCAAACCACAGCTCCTTTATCCCTTCTACGCTCAAGAATAAGGGACCAGCGATGCGCTGAAGTTCGCGGAGCAACGCCGACGGCTTGCAATCTCCAAGCTTGAGACCATTGAGCTGCTCAAATCGTGTTCGTGCGCTGGGTCGTAACTCTTTCAAAATCGCTTGCTTCATCGTTTCATACTTTGCCTCATTCGATGGGCAGAGTAGAATGTCCTCAATCAGCGTCACTACCGACGGAGGAAGGCGTGGGACGAGCTGATTGTACCTTGGACGGTCCGCCGTTATGCCCTTATTTTCTAGTTCGATCTCGAATATCTTAAACCAAACTTCTGGACTGTGTTCCATGAAACTTGGAACAGCCAAAGGAAGCATGGTTACGCTGTGAAACGACTCAGATGCAACTCTCGAAATGTGAGTCGAAAGATAAAGAACGAAGAAAATGCGATAAAAGTACCAAAATTACGCAAGAAACAAATGAATATAGGTATATAATCGAGAAAAAGGAACGAACTCACCAAAAAATACAAACGAGAAAAAATGTTGAATTCGCGCGTGCGAATCGGGGTCACCAATTTGTAGGACTAGTTAATACTAGTCCGAGACGATGCGCGGAATTAAGCGTGCATATCAGAAGGCAATTGGAGTCGGACACAGCGGACTGTATTCGATGGGCTACAACAAGAAGCGGACGGATGAAGCGAGGCAAGAGCGTACACGTGAGCGCGGGGACTTACAAGGCAGTTGTGTGTCGAGCCGGTTGTAAGATTAAAACAAGAAGGAGTAATGTACAATCGATCAACAAGTAAATTGTACACGAAAGATAAGAGTTATCTTTTTGGGCGCTACAAGCGCACAAATACAGTAAAAACAAGGGGAAGATTATTGCCGCATATTTTCAAGCAAATTAACGAAATATCTCACGAAACTATTATGTTGTCACCATAATATATAGTATAGTAAAGCAGTTAACTAACTGCTACCATGCCGTTTCTGCTTATCTGGTAGTACCTAAATGTAGATAATAGTTAAGAAAACTGCTTTGAAAACTGGCATATAATGTATTCATTTATCAGAAAAACATACGTCATAAGTAGCGGTAAATGGGTAAAACCAAACCTGTAGTCCATCCAATAGTTTTTACCAAAGCTGTATGATAGTGGAAAAACCTTGTCAATATAGGAACGGCCTGAATGTTCCTAAAGCATGCAGCTTGTGACCAGCAACTGCACAATGCAAATCTGCAATAATAGATTGCGTTGCCAAAAAATATATGAAAAACAGGCAGCAGTCTTGGTGCCTGACTCAGTACCCTCCGTAAACGCATATAATTATGCATATCTAATGGCATACGCCATTACACATGTTCCATATTGTGGCTTGCATTCACATAAGGCATATAGAATGTCGATGTATGCAATCATGCACATACCTATTAATGTGGGCGTAATACCAGCCAAGAAAGCTTTGCATGATGGATGTCCGCCGGAGGTCATATGGTTGGCGGCATCCGGTTTCGGATTTGCCTGTCACTGTGGCAAACCAAAGGACGCCTGCGCCTACAGAGGGACCATGGATAGCTTGCGCTGCACCACCCACAGCTCCAACCACACACCCCATATCCAGCGTAAACCTGAAGGAATAAGACCGGGAGGCATGCGGATGGGAGCCACGTTTCATCAACGGAGCCGGCCCACACTCTTTCACAGGCAAACAAGCACACTGTAGTTGGGAATCAAGCGCACACAAGGCGGTGGCTGGACCGTACTCCGCTCCACACTGAGTGCATGGAACCACTCTTTGATCCTAACACGGCCACAAGGACCGTGCACCCCGTCCCCTCCAGCAACGACCAACTGTCTCCTGGAGCCAGTATGGACGAGGTAGCGGGTAATCGACAGGTAGGCACCTTGTCAACATGCACATCAAGCGCAGCCACACCGGGGATATCAAACAACAGCCAAACATTTGAGAGAGAGAGAGAGAGACAAAGAAAATAACTAGATTAATGCATAAAGAAACAGTGACATAAACCTTAAGTTAATGAGCACATGAAATAAGTTGTTTACAAACG